GTGCTTGTGCACCATGAGGTGCCGGTTGTGTCTTTGAATGTGCTCCATAGTGTTGCGGGATCGCATACTCGCTATGGCCGCAAGGGCCATGGCGCCTTGCGGACGAAGGCAAACCAGCAACACTGGAGCGCATTCAAAGATACACGAGTCGGCTGGAGCACCGATGACATGCGAGAGCACGTTGCGCCATGTGGCGCCGCCAAGATACAGCCGGTCAGCTGAGCTGGTCTGTCGATGCTCCGTACCGTACAAGTGACGTGTCCCGGTGCACGCCAGGCGCCGCCGCCGCCGCCGCCGGCCACAAGCCACAGGCCACGACATGACACGGAAGTCGGATCGGACATATCATACATGAGGATTTCCCCCATCCTCCTGACGCCCAGAGACCCAGAGAACACGATTTCTTTTAAAACTACGCCAAGTGGATATAGCCCTCTGTCAGTGTCTGTCAAGATTTTGACATTTTAGTTGCTGGGCTAGTTGGCAGGCTAACAAAATGGCAACATTTTGACACTGACATTACTTTGACAAAACCTTGCTCTCTGCGCCGTGCCGTACCGTACCGCCGGGTAATTCTAGGGGCAAATAAAGAGACGGGTCGATTGGGTACTTGAGAATTTAGAGAGGATCGCGCGCGCGCACAGGCAGCACCGGCCGGCTCTTGCCCGGAGGATTACTCACCAGGTGCTGTAGGGGAGTCCCACCAAATGGTAACCCTGGTTGGTAGGCGGCGTGCTCCTGTTGGTCCTGCTGCCATCCGCAGCCTCGGCAGAGGCGGGGTCCCGCACACTTGCCTTCCGAGCCATCACCTCGCGACTGGTCCTGGCGGCGCCAAAAGAGCGACGCGCTACAGGACAGGTCGCGATTGTTTCACACCCGCTTCTTCAGCGAGGCAAACACAGAAATGGGCCGGCTCGCGACAGTTCTGCGGGCGACCGCCGCGTGGCAATGAAGACGGAGCCGCCGACAACCCGATCGCTCCGCAACTGAAACACCTGGCCCCCGTCGCTGCGGTGCGGTACGATCCGGTCCGATCACATATCGTTACCACTCGCGTATGGCCGGCCCGCCGCGGAAAAAACGAGGCGCGGAGCAGCAGGACACGGGGGGCACACGGGGATAGCTGGGCAGTGCTGCCGAGCCGCGATGAGCAAGCGGAGGGAGGGCAGGGCACAGGATGAGGGGGGGAGCGGGCACGTCCGGACAGACGGCGGCACCGCAATTCACACGGACGAGCTAATTCACCATCATCAGCGACTGGCCATAGAGGGGCCCCGCTGGGCCCCACCACCCGCCCTGCCCGGCCACCTCTGCCCACCCCTAGCCCAGCCCATGCGAAGGGTCAGGGCAGCAAACTAAATCACACAGATGTCACACAGTCAGGTTTTCCAGTCTCTCCATATATTTCCGCTGGGCCCCACCACCCGCCCTGCCCGGCCACCTCTGCCCACCCCTAGCCCAGCCCATGCGAAGGGTCAGGGCAGCTAACTATATATCACACAAATGTCACAAACTCAGGTTTTCCAGTTTCTCCATGTATTTCAGCTTTATTTTTTCAGTCATTATTACATCAATTAATTTATTTACAATTTTTCCTACAATTTGCCTATATAAAATAAATTAAAATACACTTTAAAACCACATACTTGAAACATACTAACATGACAATCTTTAATATTTGCATCAATTGATTTACTGTTATCATTCTGTGTGTGACTTTTGACTATTAAAACGTTGTACGCTGCAGCACTGCTACCAATTACAAAATTTGCAGTTTTCACAAATTAACAAGGAATTAATTAAACACATGAGGCACATCAAAGTTTAAATACAGTGGTAAGGAAGAGAACTATTTCTCAATAACATGCTCAAAAACTCAACCTCCTATTTTTGGAAAGAAAAAAAAACAAACAAAAAAGAAACAGTTAACAAATTAGAACACATGATTTTAAAGTAAAATAACAATAGACAACAAAAAATTTGCTAGGCAATACTGATAAAACACAACTACTTAATGGGCCAATACAATGAGGAACTGTAAGGCACTGTGGTAGACAACCAATCATTCTCCTTTCATCCTACATTTAAATAAATACTCGATATTTCATACAAAAGGTACCGAACAACAATCATCCTAGAAATATAACAATTTCGAGCAATAGCTTGACTTTTATCCTACCAACATTGCATACATGAGCAGTAGGTGGCTCCAAACAAGATAAAATCATTATCACATTGAACTTCTCAGGCTGAAATCAGCAGATGCCTTTGGAAAACGAATCGTACATTGAGTTGTGGTCAAAGCTTAAAATATTGCCAATAGTCTAAAGCTAACTGGGATAAGAGGAGCTGCCCAAGCACTGAGTAGCTCACTCTGATGATGTACAGAAACGCTGATTTCTTTTACTTAAAATAATATCACTTGGGTGCTGATACAACACTAGTAGTCAACAAAAATTGATAACGAGGCATACATAACACCACACAGCCTAAAATGCACTCACAGCAAGCCACCTTTCCTTCCAAACCATAGGGAGCTCAATGTGCCCAGAGTGGAAGACGAGTTAGAGTCCATCCCATGATCAGAGGGTACAGAACCTAGATCAGGACGTTTGCGAGCACCTCTGGGGGCTGGAGTAGCACCTGGCACATACCCTAGATCTGGGCGGACTGATGGCCTACGATTCTCTTGCTGCAACCTATTCAGACGAGAATCCAGCTGGCCTGAACCAGGTTTGGCAGGCATACCTAATATTGGAATATCACTATCATCATCACCACCTAAAACAAACGATGGCTTGGGGCTGCTACTTACAGGACTAAGTCCTGTTAGTTGTGCCATAGGGCTACGTTGAGCTGGATTAAAGTACATAGATCTAGCACCTGGCCTATAATTTGGAGTAACTAATGAATCCAAACCAATTTGCTCAAGTTTCTCGACAAGCTTAATGCTTGACAAAGCCTGGAACAGATTAATAAAAAAATTAGATTTTCTATCCATATGACGGTATAGAAGATGCCCCTGAACTTTGTGCAGCACTTGCCTTGCGGTCTGATCTGGAAAGACCTTTTCTGGACCTTCGTGCCTGCGGAGACCGGTGGTAACGCATTGGTGATGGATTACGCTCACTTGAAAAAGTACGACGCAGCAGTTCTGCACCACTACTAAGTAAGGCTGTGACAAAGAAAATTTTATTATTCAAGAACAAATTTAACTACTTTTAATTGTTATTTTTTGTTTGACTAACCTGGTATAGGGAATGTGCTGTAGGGTGGAGGTGATGGTGACCTAGAAGATGAAGGGGAACTCTCAGCAGATCCTCTTGGAGAACCCAATGGAGAATTGCATGGAGTGGCAGTGGGAGTGAAACTCTTTTCATTTGCTGGAGTGTTTAGAGCACTTGGAGTGACTGCCTTGATACCTCGCTCATTGAGCATTTTAGCAAGACCAAGACATGTTGAGAATGTTGAAGTTGAATTACGACGGCTCATCCCTATTAAAATGTTGAATTGTCAAGTTTAAATATACTGATATTGATGCATCACAGGCTAATAAGATATTTGAATAAAATGCTACACACCAGAAACAGGAGTAGGATTTGCTGTGGTAGCCTGACTATTGGTACACCTTGTGCTCATCTGACTTGGAGGTAAACTGTGCGTAACTGAAGTCATTCCATCATCAGGATGCATAACAGTACTGTTAGTGAAGGTATAAACTGAGCTTGTGGACTGAAATAACAAAAAGAGATGTTATTACACTTAATTAAACACCAAAAGAAGAAAAGCAAAACCTTTCAGAATGTTATTTTATATCTACCTGGAAACTCTTGCCAGGGCAAATATACTCATCATCTTCCTCAAGATCAGAAAGAGTGTAAGTATCAAGGCCCAACTCTTCTAAAGGTTTCCCTCCTCGGATTTTTACTCCAGGCCTTTCCTCCAGCAGTCCACTCAGAGTTGGTGTGGCAAGTTGCGACCAGTGATGTAATGTTAAAGATCCTTCAATAGGCTTTACAATCTGAAAAAATATATCTTGTCAATAATAATATACATAGAAATTTGTTTGTCTAATCAACCTGTTTGGGATGAAAAGAAATTAAATTGATAAAAGAATAACTGAACGAACCTGTAACTTATCTGGCAGCTTCCAGTTCATTGAATTACTATTGCCACTGAATGCCCCACTGCTCCCAGTAGACATTATGCTATCAGGAGTGCGGCACTCATCAAAGCTAATCATACTTGCTGATCCTAAATGAGCTCTTCGAAGAGCAACAGCTGCAGGAGTTAGGCGGCGCACAGCTGCTTCCAGCTCAGTAAAGTCAGACCTTGGTTCACATTGTTCTGCATCCACTCTGCAAGGAGGATTATTTTGTTGTGATAATTTTTAATGAGAATGAGGACCTATTCAAATGACAAGCATTACTAAACTTTGCTACTTACGAGTAATTGTCTTCGCTGTCATTAGAGAAGGCTTCAGAATCAGACTGTCCAGCAGAGTCCAAACTGGGGAATGACATAGTTGATCCATAGATGTGAGGTGCTGGGTGTGAAGAAATGGAACTACTTGCAGTTGAAGTGGTAGCCATTCCAGGTAGACTACTCATTCTTGGGCCAATGCTTGACGATGACATAGATAGGGATGAGGTAAGAGAGGCCTGGCCACCTCCTAATGATCCCAGGCGCTTAACTGGTGAAATGCCTAGACTACTGCCAATGCTGCTTCCACTACCCATTGAGCTACGAGATGCACACCTGACAGTCTCAAAGACTTTCTTGTAAGATGGTCTGAAATGGAAGAATATTAGATTAAACTGATGAAAAATAAATTTAAGGTTTGAATAAGGCTAAGACAAACAGAATTTTAGTCATTTACTTACGCTCTATCTGTAGATATACCAGAGTCAAGACTTAGTTCTGAGAACAGGGACGACTCTAATTCAGAAGCTATTGAATCTGGGTTGTGCTGGTTTATTCCCGTGAGTGAAGGGAACAATTGAGTTGCCCTTGCAACTGGCATACTCATCTTGCGCTTCTTCTTGAGTTGTTCTTGAGTATCTAATAGTAAAGCTGATACCTCTCCATGCCTAGTTTTTAATTCAGCTAATTCTCCGCTTAGTGAATCTTGAGTTTCTCGTGATACACGTATAAGTCCTCTCAGCTCTTCATTATCAGCAGTCATCTACAATGAATATAAAATAATTAACTTCAATTGTTCTAACCCCAAAACCCAAATAAAAGAATAAAAACAAAGATACAGTATTCAATAACTTACACTAGTGTGGCGGCTTTCAATATCTCGCAACTTTGCCTCAAGAGCAATAATGTGTTCACTTTGCTGTCGATTTTCATCTCTCTGACGATCAAGCTCTCCAAGCAAAGCTGTGACTTCTCGGTTTGCAGTAGCTATAAACCAAAAATAAAAAAATTACATTTGAGAGGAAAATAGCTTTTAAAATATTTTGATAGCCTTCACACACTTACAAAGTTGATGTGTGATGTCTTGTACAAGTTTTGCTTCAGCCTCCTCACACTCTGAGGTTTCTTTTGCAATCTGATTGAACTCTTCTCGCAACCGAACATTGTCATGTTCAAGCACGTGGATCCTCTGTTGCATAAACTCTGCATTGATTTGCCTTGGGGCACATGGTGTGCCCACCTCTGAACTACTGTCCCCTTCATCATTGGTAAGGATCTGGGTACAAAATTAAATCACATTAATTTGTTAAAATGGTGTGGAATTAATTATATTCTTAAAAATAGATCTAAAAAACACAGAATGTTCAAACTTACTTGAATAAGTTCAGTCTTTTTGAGCAACTCATGGTTGAGTTGAGTGAGCTTTTCATTGGTGGTGCGAAGTTCTGCTTCCAATGAAGTAACATTATTCTCTAGCCTCTGATTATTAGCTAAAAGCTCCTTGCCAATTCGAGCAGTGAGCTCAAGGTCTTTCTCTTTCTGTGTAATGTTAAATACAATTATAATGATTAGAAAAAAAAGAGAACCCTTCTCCAAGTGATACTAATGCATAGCACTAGCTTACCTCTTCAAGAAGCCTTGTCACTGCTTCGATATCATCGTAAGTTTTGGTCATTTGGCTCACGCGGTCGCTGCATAGGACTGTAACAGAGAACCAAAAATAACGAATTAATATACACAGTATTTTGTTAACAGTCCAATGAAACAGTCGACTCAAGTTATACAGCCCGTCGGCCTCCTCCATCCGTACGGTCATGAGATATTTTTTATTTGCAAATGTTATGTGGAAGAGTTTTCTGCCCGCGTTCCCACGCCGCCCTCCGTGGAGAGGACGTGCGTGCTCGATGGGGCGATAAGGCCCTCAGAGCGGCGAGATGACGCGGAAGGGAGGGGCTGTCTCAGGACGGCGAGGACGACCAAGAACAGGACGACCGGGGCGGCCCACGCGGAGCAATAATAAGCCTGACACAGGGGGAAAGGGGGTGCCGGCATGGGGTTAAGCGCACTGCAGCGAAAGACGGTGTCATTGTCGGCCGGTCACCGGGGCCCAGCCCGGCCGGACCACGGCCAGGGCCATAAGTGCAGCAAGGGTGCAGCAGGGTGCCGCACGGGACCCCGCCGCACTCGGGTCCTGCCTGCGTTACGCAGAGCTCCAGGCGGTTCCAGGCGCCGCTAACCTTGAACACAGCTGCTAACCAGCCGAGCGGCGGCAGCGGCGGCGGCGGCAGCGGCGCGTGCTGGCTGGCTGCGGATACTGCAAACTGCTCTCCTCTGCGTCGCCTTCCCTTCCGCCCCTCCAAGAGCACCACCACCACCCTCCCCCTCCTCATCACTCACTCTCCCGTAGTATCGATCCCGAGCCCACCAGCCCCGGCGCCTCCCCTCCCCCCGTGCGGCGCCGCCCCCGCCGCCCCCCTGCGCATCCCGGCATCGGCGCCCCTTCCCCCGCTCGCTCTCCTCCCGCGGCCGGAGACCGTGATGACGTCACAGAAACGCACGCGCGCGCTACACACGCCACGGCACGTATACGGCCGTGTTCCGGACCCGTTTGAACTCGGGGGTTATACTCCCCAAGGTTCTAGTAGTAGGTACGTCTTGTGGGTCCAGCGGACGACGGCGGCGCGGCGCACTGGCCACATTCCGGTCCACAGCCGCCTGCTCTTGTTCTTTTCTCCCCGCTAATCTTTCTCAGTCCGACCCGACCCGACCGGACCAGACAACCGAGGCAGCGGGACGAAAACAGGCGGCTGCAGTGGCGGGCAACAGGGTCGCTGCCTCTCCTCGGCTCGGCTGCGCAAGCCCTCGTCATCTCGTCTCGTCCATAACGCGGCCAACACTTGAGGCCAAGGTGACACGCAAGCGCCAGCCAGCCCCGCGGCAAGCGCCGCCCGCGCACCACAAGCCACAACAACCACCCCCGGGCAGCTGCACCCCCGCGCCTCGCGTGCACTCCACCGCGCAAGCTGCAGCCGAGGGTGGTGGAGGTCACGTAGGAGGTCATGGTCATGTAACCCAGGCCTCCGAAAGACCTATAGGTATTCACAGCAGCTCACGGTGAGCCACTGCTGGAGGGAGGAGTAGTTGTGTAGTGGCGAGGGGATGCAGCCAGCCCAAGCCTTCGGAAAGGCGGCCAAAAGGCAAGGGCGGGGCAGGGCGAGGGCCTGCCAACTGTCAATAACGGCAGTGGCCTGGAAAAGAATCTCAGCCCGCTCCTCCGGGTCGTCCAATGTTATTTCACTTTAACCGCCACGCCCCAGCCCCAGCACGCCCCGCCCACTACCTTATTGCCACGACAGGCTACACCCCTCCGACAAACGGGAAGAGGAAGGGGTGGGGGTGGGTAACAGACACGATGTGTCAGGGGTGGGTAACAGACTCCAGACTCGATGCATCGTGGGGTGGGTTAAAGACAGGGTGCATCGCCGGGGGCGGGGTGGGGCGATATGGGATGGCCCCGCGCTGAATCAAGCTTGACCTTTGACCGACTCGGATGTCGCGTGCGGAATAAAATAAAGTGAATGAAACTCCGGGTTGTGGAGGGGGGGGGGTGGAAGCCGACTACTAGACGAGCGACCAGGACTGTGACTGTGAATATGGGAAGGGGTCGATTGGGCAGTGAGCTCTACCCCCACCCCCACCCCTGCTGGAGCAGCGCGAGGCGAGGGCACGAGTCCTCGCGGTGCACCGCCCGCCCCGCCCCGCCCCGCTCCAGTGCCCACTCGGAATGCGGACACCTCCTCCTCTGCTCCGGCCCAGCCCTGGCCCCTGGCCCTCGCGCCGCTCTTCGCCCCTCACACTTTCTTCATCACTGCCGTCCGTCCGTCCGTCCGTCCGTCCCGTCGTCCTCGATACCCCGCGCCTCTAGGGGGCCGACGAGGCGCCGAGGCACCCGCCGACGGAGGCGCCAGCCACGGGGGCCACAGGTGCGCGCCACAGAGACATACCCCTCGCCTCGCAGCTGCACACCTGCCGGGCTCCCGCCTCGATGATAGCCGAGTTATGCGTTCGTTCGTAGAGTAAGGGGGCCTCGGTGCCGCGGGCCAGACCGCGCCGGACTCAGCCGCCGGGTAGTTAAGATGCACGGGTAGATACGGAAAGGGCGCCGCGGGGCGGTCACGCGGAGGGCAAGGCAAGGCAAGGCGGGGCGGGGTGGGGCGGGTGGGGCAGCGCTAGCCTCACCAGGGGACGCAGGGGACGTCTCTCAAACGGGGCATTATGAATGCATGCGGGGTCGACACGACGGGAAGGGTCGGGGGCAAGGGGGCGAAAAACGGGGCAAATGAAAAAGAGGAGGGGATATGTGACGTCACGGTTCAGGGACGACGAGGTGGGGGCTGGGGGAGGCATAGGCTGGCGTGCCTCGGTACGGCAAAAGGCAAGGGCACACACACACACACACCAGCGCCGGCCTCGCCCGCAACCCGTCGTAACTTCTGCAATGTAACCGATCCGAAATACCTGCACGGTTGCAAGCCGACCGCACCGCGGGCCGACTTTAGCTCCGGAGGGGTGGTAGTGAGCAGGGGGAGGCATCAACCACACTTTGGGGTGGGGGGGTGGGGGGGGGGCGCACGAGGTGGGGCACGTGCCCGACGAGCCATCACACGATTAATGGTGGGAGATGTGAGGACGACCGCCCCCCCCCCTTCCCGCGACCGTATCCCGATCATAACAAGCAGCCCGGATGAATGAATGCCTGAATGAACTAATGAATGGGCGTTGAATGGGATCATCGGCGACGCCCTCCCTGCGGCTCCCACGGCCGCCCCGCCCGAGCAGGCAGGCAGCGCGCATATAGGCTCTATAGGAGCAGGGCCCCCTGCTGTCCACGCACCGCTAGGCACCCGGCGGCGGCCACACGTCAGCAGGCGCGCTCCGGGCACTCCGGGCCAGGGGGGAAAGATGAGGGGGGGGGG